GACAGCCCTGCCTTTGCCTGCAAGGACAGCCTCTGGCCCCAAGCTGAGGGTTACAAACAGTGACCAAGCACATTATCCAGGGATCTTCTCTTTACCTATAATTTTTCCCTTTCTAAAGAAAGCTGTAGAACCAGCAGGGGATTAAAAGTAGTTTTTTCATGAGCATCCCACGTGGCTATTTCTCATCTCCCAACCTTATATCTCCTTTAGGYTTGCAGAGCTGATTGTTCCCTCTTTTTCCCCACGCCTGAACAGTTCTTGGATTTGGCAGGCACAGGAACAACAATGYTATGACAAGCATTTTTTGAATGTATCAAAACATGTTTCTTTGCTCCTCCTTTTTTTTTTTTCTCAAATAGATACAAAGCAAACTGCTCACTCAAGCTTARTATTTCCCACTTCAATTGGCTGTAAGAGAACTCCAGATGTTGCTGAGAATTTTTAACAAAACTGTCATCTTCAGAAACCAGCAGTGCAAAGCGGGTAGCCTCTCAGAAACCCACAAAACCAAAAGAAACTGCTGGATCCCAAGAGTTGGCCCAGAGAGATCTTCAATGCTGATATTTTCACATATATAAGTTTCTTGAAGTTATGATAATTATCTATGCTTAAACATCTACCCAGACAATTTTACAGTTCACAGTATTTCACCTACAGGAAATGTGCTGAAGCCAAACACTGACCTCAGACAAGTCAATATTTTGACTTGATACATGAATAGGGGAAATTATCCCTATTCAGAAACCTGTGTTCTTTGAGTGACTATTTCAGATGGCCCTTATGTAAAACATGCAGGAGAAGGGGAAGTACCATTTCCATCAGCCTTGACCATCCAGGACTACTAGAAGTTACACCAGCCTCACTGCTGCTTTGCCAAGACAACAGAGGAACCAGTCAATTTACAAGCAATTCTCATGTTCATGTTGATCTTTCATATAAACTCAGTCACATCGCTGGATTTCATCAAGCTATTTTATTTAACAGGGGAAGCTGGCCACTAATCACACCACTGACCATTCCAGGGATGCCAGCAGACACAGGCAAGAGGGCTCCTACCATCCAGATTCCCTCACCTCCAAGAAAGCTTCTTTGTAAACGGGTGATCGCACATCTTCAAAATAATGACATGCCACATATAGTAAATGTTGACTTCTCTTTCCTTCATTTCTGGACTCTGAACATCAAATACATCCCTAGCTTAAGCCGATTCCACCAACTAGCCACCCACAGTCCCCAGAAGACTAAAAATTCTCCATAGTTCCAGGACAAACACCAGAAAACTCTGATAGCAGATCTTGAGATCCAAACAAAGAGAAAGTTCATGTCAAGCCTGTACAGGGTCAGCATTCATGCAAAGGGAACATGGTTTGGCAGGTATCACACAAATCCATTTGCCTGACTCAAACGTCAGTCGCAGCATCCTTGATGTGTGAGCAGAATAAAAAAATAAAGATTCAGTAAATCATAACATTTCCCATCGCTGGTCCCCTTTTAAAAAAAAGGGAGACTGAAAGCCATGTGGAACCCTGACTCAACTTAAATCATACCAGAGAAGCTACAAGAAGCGAGCTGGACCCTTCCACGTTGCAGGGCAGGCCTCAATGGGTTCCTGTTTGCACAGAATTACTCGCTACAGAATGCGCATCAGCACGGGTCCAGATGCTCCACTGCCCTCCCCAACCTAGGCTAATCCCCAGCTTATTTCAAAGAACTTTTATGGATGACATGGATCATTTATATCACAATGGAAGAATACAATTTTACTCCACAACTTTCTCCAATTTTTCCTTGATTTCATGCTCAGYTTCCCAACAACTAGCTACAAATGTCACCAGTGTGGCACGTGGAGCAACAGCTGGAAAACGGTAGCAAACCATAAGGACAGCAACACGGCTCAAGGAACCACAGCACCGTGGCCTCAGAGGAGGCTCCTGGTGGATTCCAGAATTTCTTCAAGATGCTACCTGTGCTGTGCAAGGAAAGTAATCTTTCTTAACATCCCCAAACGTTTCTTTTTGCTACCTTTTCCTAAAGTTCATCAAAGCAGAAAAACCTTCAGAATCTAACTGAATTAGTCTCTCTGCAAAACAGCACATTTTCAAACATGGCAACTTTATGGGGGACAAAGGGGAAAAAAAATCTAGACATCTCTATTGAGAATAATTCAGAGAATTGTGAAATTAGCCTTTAAAAATATCTGGCAGTAGAAAATTAATCACATTAAACTGTCACAAATGACTTTTAGAAACCTTAGAGAGATACCATGACCTCAGTAAATGGAGTTGCTCATGAACCTCAGAGAAGTGCTAATCATTGAGTATTATTCAGACACACAGAAATTAGGGGTGCCCCTTCACTGGGTCATCTAAGAGGGGTAAGAGTCATAAGGAGAAAAGAAACTGCCTGCCTGAAAGGCACTTCATGCAGAAATATCAGCCTGAAATTAACTCACATTAATTTTTAAAGTGGAATTTTAAATAGAGTCATAATTTTAAAAAAATCTGTCATGAGTCTTCCTCTTGCCAGTTCAGCATTTAGACTTTCACCTATGAAAAGTTCTATTTTGAGCAACAGCCCTGACAGCAATAAAGCTGAATAAGGTTAAATTCAAATTAGTCAGAAAAACCATCACACTTGGATGAGAACAAGTCCTCCCAGGGGGTGATGTTCAAACTGCCTCTGAGATTTCTAAAAGAAGGACAACACGCTGCATTGCTCTGTAAGGAAAGTCAATAGCCTGAAGAAAGGCACATCATTTTTCCCAATTTCTATAACTGTTTTGGTTTTGTTTTTTTACATCAAAAGTGTTACATCAACAGGGTATTTGAGGTTAAGCTCCTGATTCTGGTCTCCACTCTATCCTCCCTCCAATGGTTGGGAAAGCTTCATAATCAACAGCATTCCACAGATGGAAGCTGCAGAGCAAAAGAGAGGGAATAACCAGACAGACGCTGGGTACGACGGTCGCTAACAGATGGGAAACAAAGCAGGGCAGGAGAGCCACAGAACAAAGACCACCTTCCTCGCATTGTTCCATTTTTACATCCCTACTTGCTGAATTTCATTACGGATGTCGTGTTACGGAAGAACGCGCTGCCCAACTAGTAGCTTTCCAGAGCAGATCCTGCACTGCCGGAAGGATCAACTACGTTTTCATGTGCTTAGACACCATAAAAATACAACCCCAATCTCTTAACCCAAGTAAGAGATGATGGCCACATTAGCCAAGCAACAAAAACTTCTATCATTTGTGAAGGTTTTGCTAAATCAACCTGTATTTCTTTAATAGATCAAAGTACTCATTTTGCCAAAAATAACCTCTCAGTTTCTGTCTTCAAAACAAGGGTAGACATGGTAAGGGACCAGTGCTTATGGTGCCTGGAGGTGTTTTGCTGATGAGGAAATCAACTTATCTTGTAAATGAGGAACAAAAAATGGGTGTGGATACTGAACGACAATACTTAAGGATTAACTGTAAACAACAGTCAGTTTTTATAGGCATTCCCGTTTCTGTGAAGAGTCAAAACCAACCCCACCAAAATGCAGAGATATTCTCATTTTACAGCTGGAGCTACTGAAGCAGAGAGCAGCGAGAGCTCACGACAATGCCTGGCACTCGTATGTCTCCCTGGGTCTCCTTCCTTTCCTCTCCCTTCCGTTTCCCTTCTTCCTCTCTAGCTGGGAAAGAGAAAGAGATGCAAAGCTCTTCCCGGCAGGCTGTGCCTCTGGATATGCACACAATAAGYGAGGCAGAGAGATCATGCAGTGACACAACCAGGAGTCCCACAGGACAGCAGGGGACTCCTGTGCAGCCCTAAGGAAGACAGTTGGCAGCAGCTGCCAGGGACATAGCTCTACATATGGTAATACAAGAAAAAAAAATCAGCACAGAGCAATAAACACACTCGAATCACTCCCATGGAGCTGGCTCGAGATACAGCATTCCAGGAAGAATAGCAGGGCTTCTGTTTCCACTTCCCATCCCAGCTCCAGGTTGCCAAATCTGAGCCCCCTGATAGAAGCGCCTGGTGAAATTTGCCTTATTTGCCTTTAATTTGCCTTATACACAAGGCTCCACCTCAAAGTCTGTCCATTTGCATTATGCATAAGACAAACATTTGCATTTACTCACATAAAAATCTCCCTTTTATTAAAAAAGTTATTATTTTTCATCACATCTTTTTTGGAAACATCATCATAATCCCAGGACGGGGGTTAAAAAAATGGCTGATCAGCAACACTGCTTCCGTCATGTGGAGAAAACACCTTTCTGCTGTATTGTCAATGCATCACATTAGTATCTCTCACAAGATGCAGGAATCCTCACAAATTTCATCATCCTCCATACTAGGATGAATTCATCTGGCCTGGCCTTTTTTTTCTAGCACGCATTTWGCATCATGCGTGCACTTATTTAAATAAAAGAATTCTGAACAAATCTTTCGACTGCAAATGATTCTCCTCCAGGCAGTGAACAAGAGCACGACCACGTGCCAGATGTTACTTACACTGCTCAGTGCACACCTGGAAGGCACTCAAACTGGAGAGGAAGCAAGATGGGACACACCAGAATTACCAGTGTTACATGAAATTAATTTTCATTCCGTTTTCCTAACAGGTTMCTTGCTGCAGAAATAAAAGGGATGAGGTTTTAACGAAAAGGCTTTACCTGATTAAAGATGAAATGGTGGAAGATGGTAAAGAAATGTCATAGCACAAGAGTTTTGCTGTTTAAATTTATCTTTGCTATTTCACAACTATTGCATACTTACAGCTTTGCATGAGAATTTCTTGTTATTTCTTWAAAGAATTACTGATACGTTGTTCATAACTTCCTTATAGGAGTTTAGTTTTAATGGTATTAGACAAAAACACTCCACCACCTCTTCATTTAAACAAATTATCTTTGGAARAGCTATTTATAGAAAATCATTTTCCATATTTCAGTGACATATCAATAGCAATGAAAAGAATTTGAAAAAAATCCTTTTGGAACTTACAGTTGGGGATTCCTTTGTTTCACTTGGAACATCGACATTTTGAATTTATTGTACTTCCAATTTCTCATTTTCACACTGACATATCATGAAATGAAGAATAAAACTGATCTGTAATTAAAGATAATAATTTGGGATAAATTAGAGGTTAGAAAAGGCAATTATTTTACTGTAAATAAAATATTAACAAGCAACTTAACATCTGGAAGTACCAGAGACCAATATAAACAAAATTGAAAAAATAGATATCAAGAACAAAACTCCAGAACTCCAAAATTTTCTAAAAGCAACTATTTTAAAAAATGTTTGACAGGAATTTAGAGGAAAAAAGTGATARTGTCAATATTGCCCATGAAAGACATCAAAATCATCATATACGGCAACACTCAGGGAAGAAAGATGCTTTTTAAGGGTACTAATCTGGAATTTGGAACATTGCAAATTCCCAATTGACTAGAGATTTCTGGTTACACTACTGATCCTTCTAAGCTGCAGTCACCAAAGTTGTGAAATACAGTAAACAAACACACTCCATTCTGTGATACGCAGCTAGCATGWTAATAAGCATAGAAATTCACTGGATACCTGCCAGTTCCCTCCAGCCACACTCACCTGCTCCTAACAGCACAATGTTTAGAGGTAATAATTAAGGCTGAGATTACCAAAAATGCCTCGGGGATTCAGATGTCCATGGGGACCAGCAGTACTGAAGCTCTCTCTGCCTATGGATTTTAGTGATACTCTGATTGATTGTTTTTGTTTGTTTTCCCCCCACCGCTGGCAATATTTCAAGCGCATGCAGGTGGAAAGGCAAGAATATTTTCAAAGATAAGATCTTCACGTTGGCTGGATGCAGAACCCTGTTGTGCTACAGACTTTGCAGGCAGACATTAAGTGTCTACTCCCATGAACATAACTTCAGTCCCAGTGAGAACTCACAGAAGCGAATCCCTCTTGCTGGAAGTGCAGGGTGCATCCCAGCAGTGAGGGGTATTCCTGACACTGCAGACACCCAGCTGGAAGGAATTATAAACCCATCTGACTGCAGACCCGTTTTGTTTCTCTTCCATCAGAGATCCTCCCACTCAAGGTGTCCTGACTGCTGTATTATTTATTGCTGAAATATTATTGTTGGTAAAGAGAGTACACGACCCTACTATTTTGCAAAGTGTGGCTAAATATATTCACAAATATTGAATAAGCAACTAGAAAAGCCAGCTCTTTGACTGCTAGTTCTGATGCCTGCAGCCAGACACGCAGATAACGTATTCTGCTGCACTCCTGGCAGCTTCAACAGCTTTTCCATAAACAACCCAGTGGGCAGCTTGTACTGTGTCTAAAATATACATTTAAAACACCGAGAGTTTTTGTTTCCAATTGTGAAGGCAAACCTGCAGAGCTGAAAAAGAGGAGACACGGCTGGTCTTGGTCTATATAGACTAAAATGGGGCATAAATGTTCTGAAGCAACTTCTCACAAAAGCAATGCCAGGAGGTGGAATGGAGGGCCCCAAACTACTATAAAACAGGAATAGTTCCACAAGTGACATTTGATTTTCATAACAAAAACCAGCAGCAGAGGTTTCACRTAGAAATTCTCCAAGTACTATCCAACTATCAATTACTACCCTTGGCGTTATTTTCTTTGTTTCTTGCCAGGGTTGCTTATATACAAAATCTTGCATGAAAGGATCTCTTTGGAGTAGCTGAGGAATAAAACATATTTCTCATCACATTTCTGTGCTCCTTGTAACTCTAAATTCATTTTTGAGAAGGGGAAGTATTAATTGAAGAATCACAGATATCATCAGAATGTCAAAGCTCGCTATGTAATCGCTGAAAAAGGCTTTGATAGTGCAGTGGAGCCTTTACAACCGCATARAGTTGAAGACTCCTCAGCATCTCAGCAAATCTATATACTAACCTCATTTTGTATGCTTTTGAATTTAGAAAGAATGCAGGGAATACACAAGAGTTAACAGCAGACACAAACAGGTTAATAATGAGTTTAGCCCTATGCTTTGGGCAGGCATTAAGGACTGTACACAGCAAGACAGCAACATCTTTTCCTCTCATACCTTAATACCTCAGACCGCAGACAGAGAAGTGGAATTCGGTTTCCCTTTCTATCTAATGGCACTTGAATCCATATTTCTCAAGAATGGGATCAAACCAAGAAAACAGGTCTCAAATCCTCCACAGAAAATGCTCTTGTTCACCAATCAGGTACTCGGGTATCACAGAACACAGCAATATCCTAACACAGGGTGGAGAGCCATACATGCAGGCACTTCATGCATACATGCAGCCATACGTACAAGCATTTCATGAATGCACAGTCATACACATACAGGCACTTCTCCTGTATACATACAGTGATATGTGCAGGCCTTTCATGCTTACACGCAGCCATACRTGCAGGCACTTCCAATAAACCCGCACACCTAACTGCACCAATGCAAATCCACACAGCATGTGCTGCAAAAGCAGGTTTGTGATCTCCCGTGAGATGACATTCACTGTAGCTGTGCTTAACACAAAACAAACAAATTTTGGTGCTCCCTGCTACAGGAGCTTCAGAAGGACAGTTATAAATGGATTCAAAAAAGGATTAGACATATTCACAAAAGACAGTATATTAAAAGGAATAGTCTGGATACAGCAGTCAGCTCAGAAAGTCCTTAAATCACCCATCATTACACACCAAGAGGACAAAACAGGAAAAGGTTCTCCATCTATATGCATATGAGTGTGTGTATATAAACACACACTATATATATATAGTATGTGTGTGTGTCTGTGTGTCTATATATATATATGCATTTATACTTTTTTTTAAATTAACTGTCCACTGCTGACCATAGTGGAAAACAGTAGTCTACAGGAATGGATCATCAGTCTCTCTCTACAGACAGTTTTAGGTTCGCATATTCGCAGCAAAGGACACCAGGGAATTAACATTCATTTCACCGGGAAGTTGGCATTTACAGCCCAAGCACAGTCATGGGGTCATTTCACTCACTTTTAATCAGATAAGATGCACACAAAGTYGTGTGGGCTATTTCTTAATCTCAATAAGCAACATAAAATGGCCGTGTGTAATTCTAAGAAGTACAAGGAAGATCCATGGCTCCTGTGATTTAAATATAGGCCACCTACATGCCACATTTTTTCCTTGTAGCAGGAAGGTGGAGCTCCTCACTCCCTCACACGGGGAACTGTAACCCTCTGCTTTATATTTATCACAACAAACTCCTGTTTGATACAAACTTCAGAGGCTTGTCTTCTTTAATTGATCTTACAGCAGAGTCGCAGAGCAGTAAGCCACATTCATATGGAAGTGAAGTAGTGAAGCTAAATTCGCGTTTCATTCTGTTCTCCTTCTCAAAGCAAGGCCCGGCAAGAAGGTGCTCAGACAAGCAAGACAATTGAGCCCACGGTATAAGCTACATCGCTTTCTCTGAGAAAGCGAAAGGCAAGTGCTAATAAAACATCTTGGCTCCACGACCATATGCTAGCTAGGCATTTTCCTGAGTCAGATATAATGAATATTCAGCAATCTCTGGCTATTGTGGTACAACAAAGTGCCTGTGTCAGGGGAGTCATTTCTGAGGCTGAGGTGAGAAAATAACAGATCTCCGCTTGGCAGAGGTAGCCACAGACATGTTAACTTAGCCCGCACAGATCTCTCTGGATAGCATCCGGCTGGAGATTATTAATTAGTCCACTAATGAGTTTGTTTCCACTGTGAGGGAGCAGGGAAGAAGCTTTCAGTACATATGCTCCAAGCATCCCTTGGAATTAAAAGTTCAGAGTTAAAAAAAAAAAAAAAAAACCACACACACCGTACCATTAGTACTATCCAACATTATCCACCAATGTGCCCAGGATTGTTATCATGTTCCCAGGCAACAAGGAGCTCACAAATGCAGGAATAGAAAGACGGTTTCACACTAACAACACTTGTGTAAGTCCCCATTTCCACAGTAGTCCAGACATTACTGTGTCTTGCTGTGCTACAGTTCAGGCTCACTCATGATGCCATGGACTCTCTCAAGTGAAGTCTGCACAGTCGCATCCTCCAGCTGACAGGCCAGGCTTTGGGAGGCATGCGGCTCCAGAAGAAGGGAGCCAGAAGACAGTTTAGACAACTTCTACACCACAAATGTAGTCCCCATCCTTGGAAAATATAGTGCAAAGACCCTGCTGAACCATACCTCTAGCCACTCCAACTACTCAGTTTGCCACAGGCTCCAAGCCCTTCCGGGCTTCCTCATAAAAGAGGTGGATAGAGCAGGGAGCTGTGTTAGATTACTGCTATAAGGTACTATGAAAGACAGCCAGCTAGAGCAGCAATGGGATCCAGAGAAGCAGAAGAGCTAACAGAGCAGCTTTAGGGTTATTTGTTATCCATAAAGGTCCACAAGACTTAGCAAMAGGGGCAAATCAGGTCACAACTCCAGAGAGCAGCATGAGGACTTTGTCCCTTTCCAGACACTGAACAAAAGCAAGTGACTAAGTCTATGTGGCCGCCACTTCATGGAAAACTGTGATTTAATGAGCTAGGAGAGAACTCGGTTCATCTTGCTGCAAGGAGACGTTCTCTTCCTTCCCCTCCATGCAGATCAATGTGACATGTGGACAGAAGTTATGCCTATGCCTTCTGACTACTCCATCAAGACCTGTTACTGCCACACAGGCTCCCTGGGACTGAATCAGCAGCTGCTGGCGAGGGGACCTGGGAAGGGCAAACGTCACCAGCCACCACGTACGGCATCGCGTCCCCTGGCACAAGCCTCTGCACAAGAGGCAACCAAGTCGCCTTGCACTCTTCAGAGCGGAAAAGAGACCGCTGAGCAGGGATGTCAGAAAGGACTATGATATTGTGAGTGACACGGAGGAAAATTGTTTCCTGTCTCTCCCAGCACACAAATGAAGCAGCACCAAACAGACCAGCAAGTGGCAGCTTCAAAGCAAACTGAAGGAAAAACTTCATGCCACTCTCCCTGCCAGGGGAAGGATGGATGTCAACTTTGCAGATGGATTCACAAAGCAGCTGGAGAAGTTCAGGGGAGAAAAATGGGAGTATATCTGGCCAAGCAG